TAAAATGAGGATTAAGGGTTAAATGATCCTTAAATAATCCTTTTAGAAAGGATTAAAAGATGTTATTGTCACTAAAGCTTTGCAAGTACACTTGACATTTCCGGATTTCTCTATTTTTAACTATGCTTTTAATCCAATTTAAATTATCAGATACTTTGCATTTTAACTAATTTATTTCTGATTAGTCCTTTTTTTAAAAAAATACTAAAGTATTACAGGAAAATGAGACAAGAATTACCTGTATTTGTTTATAATTCAGTATTAAGAATTAAAAGTTACAGTCAATACCCATAAGAATGAACAGAAGTCTTCAAAACATGATAGACTGGGCCATATTGTGGTCTGCTTTTTGTTTTCTTAACATTCATATCTTCAAGAGGAAATAAATCCCCAACAAAACAAACCAACTGAACAAAACACACACTTCTATTGATTTTTATTTGTCTTCTGGATATTTTTAAGTGGAGAATGATGATAGGACTGGCATTCTGCATTACAAGTAGTATGTCAAATTAGAGTATAATACATTTTGCAGAAACAGCTTGTTAAGCACTGCTTTAATAATTAATCAAAATAAATGTAGATCCATAATTTTCTATTAGAGAAGATTTAATAGCTGATGGTGTAAGCAATTTCCATCTTACTAAGATATTAATATTTATTTTCAGCAAAACAGTATGAAAACACTTCTTGTTGAATTATTTGTAAAGTACAATTTAAATTCTCCATACAAAGTGAAAATATCCTTACTTTCTTTGCATTTGTTCTTTTACTTGGTAATTCCCAAATGCTGTTGCTTTCTTAGTACAAAGAGTTGTTGCTTCATCAATAGAGTAGAAAGTCTTGCTCATGAAGGTGCTGGTTTAGGCAAAAGTTCTCACATTTACTAAAAACTGTATCATCTTATGCAAGACTTCCCTGTGATCAAGTTTCTCCTTTATAAACAAGGAGAATAAGCTTCCCTACTTCATGAAAGCAGGGTTAGATTTAATCTACTCATGTCTGCATGGTCTTAAAATCTTGAACAGAATATACTACGCAATTATTATTACTTTGATAATTTAAAAACTACACTAATGAAACTTCTGCAGGTTATTTGAGATGATGATATATAGAAATCTGGTATCTGTTCATAGCACACACATCCTGTACTTGCCTAAGACATCAATCCTTCTGTCAGGGATACTGTTCACACAAGCTTTAATAGACTGTTCATCACAGACGTCAAGTTGTTTAATTTCGAGGGTTTTGCCCAGCCTGTGACCCGCAGCTTCCTCCAGTGGCTCTTTCTTGGACAGATTTCGCATTGTGGCATAAACTGCAAAACACCAGAAGCAACAGTTATCAGAAATAAAATCTTTACTCTGTCAGTCTTACTGAGAAGTATTAAAGAATATTGCTTTTACATCCAGATCTTAAATATCAGTGATAGAAACCAGATAAAAACTAGAAGTAAAAAGACTATTTTCAACATATATTGTCACTGATTTCCCAGAGACTGTTTCTGAAATCTTCAAGAAATTCAAAAGAAGAATTAAACCACTATGCACAATGACGAATGCAGTGTATAAAGATAATATTATCACCAAAATTTAAGTAACGGATATCAAGTTATATGGTTAAATTGTTTTTAGGTACCCAAAACCTATCTCTTTCTTTTTTTGTTTCAAATCACCATCAACCTGTTTAGTAGACCAACCATAATTTTATTAAAAAAGTGGAAGACAAATACTTCCTTAGGTTGAAAAAATGTCTACTTTTTGCCAACTACTTCTCAAAATAGAAATTAGTTTTAACATTATTGTGGCCTAATTACTCGGAAAGCTCTGAATCTGCATCCAGTCAGTTAGCAGTAAAAAATTGTGAAAGTAAGTATGAGAAACTGAATTAGCACAGATTGCTGTGTTCACCTTGCCATCCATTTTCAATCATAGCAAATACCCTGTTTTGCAGCAGTAAGACAAATCCCAGTCCCTTTGTTCACCCAGTTATGCCTGCACAGAGTTGGAATAATGATGTGCTTTAAAGAAAAAACTGCAAATTTAGGAACTGTTTATCTAAATTCCCTCCTTTGGTCCTCAAATGGGCATGGGCACATACATTTCATTCAACAGATTTTAGGAGCCCCAAGCAAAGCTGTGAATGTGTATCTGAGGTAGCACACTACAGAGATCTGCAGCTATTCAGCTTTATGTTCCCATCTTTTCCCAGTGTGTGTGTAAACTTATTCACTTCCAGTAGTTGTTCAGTTTCAATACAGCTACAGAAATATTAACTGCTTACAGAAAACAGTATATTTTTCACTATATTGTATTTTCTTGAGAGTAAATGAGGAAAACTAACAAGAAACGAGTCACCAAGCTGAATACAACTGCCTGTAGAATCACAGAAGAAAAAACAGCACTGTCTTGAACAGAATCTTTTTATAAAGATAAATAACAGATACATGGTTACCTTTAAATCTTTTCTGTTCATCTTTTGCCATTTTTACAGCTAATGCCAGTCCAATTCCTGAGGAGCAACCTGTAATGAGGACATTTCTTCTTGCCATTCTTTTCACTGAGTGGTTCAAGCAAGAGTCTTCTTCAGAGGAGCAACAACCTAAATGTGACTACAGTATAATGTGACTGGCCTTTAATGTTATCTCCAGCTTCCCTGAGTCAACAAATCTGAAAGTGCACACCTGGGCCTTGCATGATTAAGGGATAATCTCCAACTAGACAAAACCAGAAGCAGATGCTCCTGCATGTGCTTATAAACTGCATTATCAACACGGATTATATTTAACACAAATTTTGATTAAACTTAAAAATAAGACATTTGTAAACTACATGGATTTTTTTTAATAGAATAACCAGCTTGCACAATACTGGCAGGAAAAGCCTTGCCACAGTTACAATCAGTCTGTAGTGTTGAGTCTTCCACTCATATTTATGGAAAGTAAACTGCACCCAAAGTGGGATCCCTCTGCTAAAGCTGGTCAGACTTTCTATGCCTACTGCACCCTCCTTGTTCTTTTGCAACAGAATGAGGAATGGATTTCTTCCCAATCCCTTACTATTATGAGTGCTAGTAGCCATTACAGAAAAAGAAAATTGAAAAATGGGATGTGGATTTTGAAACAGACAAGTTGTTGGACAGATTCCTCACATTTCCTTTTGGCAGTGTTCCCAACCAAGAATAGAGAAAGCAAGCAAGTATACTGGCAGTGGAGAACTGACAGGAAGATGTTGAACAGACCAGCTTCACTACGTGCTTGCTAAGACTGGAATCTCGTTCAACGCTTTCGATTCTGCAAATGACAACATGGAAATTTGAAAAAATCAGAACTAGCATGATGTCTGAGTTTTGGACCATTCTAGTTTTGGAGAAAATATTCCACCAATTTTGCATATAAACTGTGGATTAAATAGAGGGGCATTTGGACTGGCACTTTGGTGCAATGTGAACTTAACATACAGTAACTGCAGGTACACTGCAGAAAGAAACTCAGTCTGTTCTTTCTGCCCTCAGTGACAGAAAAAAGAAAGACCTTGATAAGCAATTAGCCTTATGAGCAGCATTCAGCTAATTGCAATGCCATTATCCCCAGTAAAATGTTTTCCAAGACTCAGCAATCCCATGTGATGCAATGCACTTCAGAAAAATGAACTTAGTGTTCCAGGATTTGCAGAGAAGTAAATTCATTAGTAATTCAAGAAAAGTAGGACCCTACAGAAACATTTAACTGAAATTATGTTAAAAAAACCCCAACTCCATCCTTTCCAAAAGAAATAAATTGACTTGAACAGTATAAGTGGAATCATTAACTTCTCAGGCAAGCAATAAAATAGCACAACATCTAAAGAGAAAACGTAATTATGATTCTGCTTATCTATCAGGTTTGACCCACACTTTAACCAGATAAGTTAGTATACAGACAAAATTTTAGTGCAAATGCTATTTAGCTGATTCAGAGATTAGGCAAATTGCTTTTGCTGCTCATGCACATTTATATTTAGTGCATGTAGGAGGAGCAAGCGAGGCTTTATGCAATGCTAGTTAGTGGAATTCCACTAGTGTTGTGATGCAGCTGTAATTACAGATTGGTTGTATTTTCCACTTGAAATCCTGGTTTGAAGGGCTTATATGTTCCACTGCTTTAAAAAAAAATCTGTCTGAAATTTGATGCATAGAATTCTAGCCTGAAGGCAAAGTGATGTGCCTAAAGAGGAAAAAAATAATAGTTTAATTTGCAATTATTACACCGGTCAACCTAATTCTAATGTTTTTCCTTTACTATTATGTAGAGAAATGTACAGCTTGATGTAAAACAAGCAATATATTTCTGTAAGGAACAGTATTTTTCGCTACATCATAATTTTCATAATAGTAGATTAAATAATCTGAAACTGCAGAAATATTTTAGATAAGTGTATCTTGACCTTGTCAATGGTAGCAGAATGTGTGGCTGGTTTTGTAGAACCACTTAGAGTGTGGCATTTGTGGAACGTGTTTACATAAACAATGAAAGGCCTATGACTGCCCAAGGACTTTGGCACAGGACCACTTGCAGAGTTGCAGAAACACAACAGATATATTTGTTGGCCAAGATTCACTTTTAATGTACAAAACACTTAACTGAGGCCTAGGATTTAAATTGCAACACATTCAATTCTGTTCCTCAAGTCAAGTAACTTTATTAACTTGATTTTCTGAAGCATGAATCACATCTTAATGCACATAAATCATGTATGCATTATTCAGACTTAGATTGAGGCCTCATAAACACATTTGCAGTTTCTGATCCTCATATAAATATAAAAGTGGGGCCACCAGGCATTCGTACAGCTAAATTGTGTAGTACTTTTGGAAAAATGGAAATAAATATGTTTTAGAATGCATAATTATGATGCCATTTTAATCTATGGTAATTTTTGTAGGGATTTTTGTTAGAAATAAAAAAAAACTCAAAGCTCAGTTCCTTGTTCCTTTGCATTTTAAAGATGGCCTTGTTCCTTTGCATTTTAAAGATACTGCTTGGAATAAAGCGAGCAGGTTTTCCCAGTGTCTGTGATCAAATCAGTGTCCTAAAACATCTTGCAAACAGGTCAATTTTAATAAGATGTTGTGTCTGCAACACTGCATATGTACAAAAAAAGAAGATAAAATATTCCCAAACAAAAGTTCTTAATAATACCATTGTGTTTTTAATTAGAAGTGAGATACGAAACAAGTACTCCATTCAAAATCCTTGGAAAAAGACGAGAGCTGAAATTAATTCCTACAACTTAAGAGAAATAATTTTTTTTAAAGTATAAAAAAATAAATTAATATGTTATTAAATCAAGGCAATAATCTTAAAAACAGTTGGAAAAATAAAAAGGGTATCATCTGCTTCAGTACAAATAACTGCATTCCTTCTTTAGAAATACAACATTAACATTTCCTCTTTGAATGCACAATAATGATGCCAGCAGTAGCATTCCTGGGTTGCTGCTTGTCCAATGGGCAACATTCATTTCTTCACAGTTCTTGCCCCTGAAACAAAGTATCTGTGATCAGAACCTTCCTTTAAACTTCTGCATTCAAATTATTATATCTAAATCAATTTGTAACAAGATATTACTTTTCATTATTAAGATTTATTTTACAAATTTAAGAAAACTAACAGCAGGTCTCAAGTCCATGGCTGCTTTCTCAAATTCTGACCCCTAGACTGACATTATTAATGCATTTTTGTCCACTGTTCTTGTAAGTGAAGTACATTTACTTTCCAAATGAGCACAATTTACAAATTTTCCAACACAGACTAAGTTCTAGCAGATAAGTAGGAAAATATTATGTGGAATATTTTAAGAAATCTTCATATGCAAATCCCTGTAAAAATTTTGTACAGTTTAAAGGAGCACTGTCGTTTGAAATTGCTCCTCTGTGTAAGGCTTAAGGTTTCATGTTGGATTTCATTTGTGTTTAAGTTCCTAGCAACCCTAATAATTCAGGAAGTGTTTGTAAAAACCCCATCAACAGTATCAAGGTATCAAAAGGAAGAAAGCTTATGATGTTTACCAGCACAAAGCAAGAAAAATAGCAACGTGAATGTAAACTGGATTTTCTACAGTACATAGAAATAAATGCAGCCAAACACAGTATGTTTGAGGTTGGGTGGGGTTTTTTTGTTTCTAGAGCTTTAGCTTCCTCCCACCCCTGCTTCAAAAAACATTTTCCCAGAAAAATGAAAAACCCATTCTTAATGTTCATTAAGGTATTTTCAGTTCCTTTATCTGGAATACTTACAACTTCGAAGAGTAGCAGAGTGCTGAATTGTTACAAGATCCTCACTGCAGATTGAAGCAGAGTAAGAACAAAGAACGATTCAACCGAAAAATCTGTGACCTGGTTATTTCATGAGTCCCAAAGGGGCAGAGTGGACTAGGACAGAAATCAACCCTCTCTAGCAATTCCTTCCCTGAACTAATATATTTTCTGTAATAAGCAGACAAAGTAGTGTATTAAGAGGAAAAAGAATGAGACAGACTACTCCCCTGGGCCAGACACACACAGCCCCTACCCCTTTTCCCTAGATAAATTAGGCAATTGAGTTTTTAGAACTAGGACAGAAAGTTTCTGTGGAAGACTGGTCAGTCAGTCTGCAATGTGTTACTAATGGAGAAAGTGTTTTCTTATATCATGTTAATATACACAATTTTTAAACAAAGAAGGAACCACATCATATTCTAAGTGAAGCCAGAAGCCCTCTGCAACGTATTTTGTATTTTATGCAGAATGCTTCCAAAATCTAGTGTTTTATCCACCTCATTACAATGAAAATAAACTTAAAATTTCTTTTCCTTCATCCCAAGTCTCTAAAGGAACATGACTGGAGTAGGTCTATTTTCAAAGCCTTTCTTATATCATTCTAAGGCCTCTCCCTACCTGGTATTCCTTAGCAAAAACAATAACAAGGCAATTTGTCTGGAAAGAAAGGGTCTAGTCAGCAGTTGTACAGGGGCTAGCTAGGAAATTCTTTCCTTCAGAATCATCCCTTAGGAAAAGTTGGAAATATGTTAATGATACGTGTGAACGGTAGCAGCAGTCACTGTCCTGTTCTCGAGTGTCATAAACAACCTAACAGAAAACAAGACGGGAGAGCTGACACTGCTTTAATTGGCAGTGAAACAACTTTCATATTCAGCTGTTACACTGCCAAGCCTCCATGATCTAGAATGCAGACCAAATGCTTTTGGTGACCACACAGAAATAAGCCTTCTCTGATATCTCACCCTAGGGAAAAGAAACACACAAATGCAGCACAACCAACCAAAGTAGCAGGAGCCGTTGGGGCTTTGGAGTTTACCTCTAGCTGGCAATCATCTGCACAAAGCCTGCTTATCTCAGGTCACATTTATATCTGTAGGGACTGATTCATGCACCAAACCAAAGATTTATATAATTCATAAAGTCATCTATAAAGTTTATTCTATCCATATGCTCCCATTCACTATGCCAAAAAACTCTCACTTCTTGTTGCTATAAACATGCCACATATCAGGGCTCTTTGGATGCAATAAGTTTTGCAAGATAGTGCCTAAATCATGAGAAGCCCTCATTATACAGCATTTTGTTTTGTGTCATTTCAAGGAAGACCATGTTGTCCACAGTCAGAAAAAAGGGTTACTAAAGATCATTAGTATTCAAATTTCTCCACAGAAAGCAGACAATTAAGAGTGTGCCATTAAATTTGTAATTTTTAAATAACTAAACTGGTTTAACTTCAGGGGATTAAGATTCAGCAAACACCAGGATATAAAATACAATGATTCTGGGAGAATTAATGACACTTATGCTAAAGAGAAACTGTATAGTTCCTTCTAGGCAGGTACAGTAATGGCATTAAAAATTGATAATTTGTTATGTACATTTTACCTTTTCAAGAGCTTCTAGGCTATGTTGTTTTCTTTGATTTTTTTTTTTCTTCAGCTGATTTATTTCTTGGTCTCTGTGGAGCAGTTCAAACTCTTTTTCACGAAGCTTATCTTTAGAATGCTGAAGTTTCTTTTCTAAGTTCTCAATCTGAACAGAAAATGCAATTAAATCAGAACTGATATTTTACCAAAGTCAGAATGATTTAAAAAAAACCCCAAAACCATAAAACAAAGAAAACTCACAAATAACCATCAGTTTTTACCACTGACTTTGGATTCCCTTGTCGATTTTTTATTTTGTCAACATGTTCCTTTACCAAAAGAGCAGTTTGGGAGCTATATCATATCAAGTGAAAAAATAAGTTTTCGTTTTTGCACTGTTATATCCCTGCAAAATTTATTGTTTCAATTGACAAATGAAGTGTTTTTGCTGGTACATTATTAAGGTACTGTCTTCCCTCTCCCTACAATAAGAAACCAGTTTTCATCTTCTAGATTAAACCTGTCCAGCTATTGTGTCCCAGGACCAGACTTTCTCATAAAATTATCTGCCCTTTGTTAGGGAGACTGTTTTTAATTAAGTGAGAATTACCTTTTTATTGCATTCCTTGATTTCCAACTCTGACTTTTCTAAATTGCACTGTAATTGAATTATTTGTTGTTCCATTTCTTCCCTATATGCACGAACTGTCATATCCAGCTTTGTAATCTACAGGTAATAAAGGAAGAAAATTAAATATTTTATTTTGAATTAGTATGTAGATTTTAAGAAGCAATATTACAAACTATGACAGCAAAATGAATGAAATTAATCCTCTGTAGCCTCAAGAGTATTCACTGGAGTAGTCAATATAAAACTGCACCCTAGCTATGTTGTTTAAAAAAATAGTGGCCAAACATAAAAAGAAAAGGGGAAAATCATGAAAAAAATCCATAACTGAATATGTTAGGTCCTCGTATACACAGAATACAAGCCTATATCTCATTTTAAAAGAAATATAATGAGTAATTATACAAATCCCTCTTGTTAGAAAGTGACAGATTTTGCCAAACCAAAAAAAACCATCAATTCATCAAAAGCTTTGATGAATTCCTGGAGCAGCTCACAGGATACTGTGGTAAAAATATATTGCAAGATCTGGCCTCCTTACAGTGTCAGTTGCTTAAACAGATTTATTCAAATCTCCACTCCTCTCTGAACCTCAAATATTCTTGAATACAAAGGCTAGTAACTCCTGCAGGAAGAGGCTAATTATAAGTGGCAGAAAAAGAATTTTCCCATGATGGGCATCAAAGAAGCCAGACCAAAAGACTGAAAATATTTCAAGTGAGCTACAGAAATTTATTCTCAACCAAGACACCATTTCATATTTAGAGGCTGCTTTAGAGGTAATCAAACATGCTCCAGTGCAAACAAGGAAAGGAGTCTATCATCTCCAAGCACACTTCAGCACAGCTCTTTCTTCCTCTTACCAAACATCAAGATGAGAACAGTTGTCTTATAACTTTATCACTAATGAAGAACTAATGAAGGGTTTGCATGAGGCTTCTGTTTCCTTAAACCAGAACTCTGTTGTCCCTTAGGGGAGCACAACCTGATTTTCCTGGTACCATAAGGCTTCAGTAACACAGAGCTGGTTTTGAGCTTGACTCCGTGGCTACAGTAACAGTACAGTTTGAGACAATACTTCAAAGCAACTAAACCTAGCAGGCTTTTCATAAGTTATCTACTACATAACAGTAACAATTGTCAGTAACATACTTAAAATAATCTGACCTGAGCTGCTCTTTGTTTCAGTTCCCAATTCCTTTCTTTCAGTGCTTGGTCCATTTCAAGGAGTTCTTGTTTTTTGTCTTCAACTTCACCCTTGCAATACCTGAAATTCTCATATGTTTAATTGCTTAATGCACATTCAGTTGCTTAGCTTCATGTATCCAGCTTGGAAATCATTAGCTCTGTTACTTACAGCCATATTACCCTAAACATGAATCAACTAATTGATTGCAAAGAAACAAACCCAAATGGAATAATTCTGTTTACTATATTCCAGGTGGAGATTTCCCAACAAGTTCATTATTCAAGTTATTTAATTGGCTATATCAGGAAAACATGTTCTTAAAAAAGAATAGTACAGAAGAAAGCACCATTAATTTGTGGTCAGAAAGGAAACTAGAAAATTTCATTATTCTTTGTACAATTACTTCACAGCTTTGGGATTCAGAAAATAATTTTAGCAGTTTTTAAAATAGAATTCCTAAAAAAGAATTCAGCACTACTTTTAGAAATTAAAAGTGAGCTGAGGAGCTCAAGTATCAACTTATCTTACAGCTGAAAAACACCTAAAAATTATAGAGAGCTGTTAAGAACATTAGAAAAAAGCCATCCAAGCTACTTGCTATTCCTAAGGAAAAATTAACACAAGTAAGTTTTCATGATGGAAAAGATACCAGCTTACCTGAGCTCAGTTGTTAGCTCCATGATAGCAATGTGCTTCTCCTCCAGAGAGGACTGTGCATTCTGTAATGCATCTTGCAATTCCTGAAGCTGTGTTAAAGTGATTTTTAATTCTCCACGGGCATTGTGTAATGCAGATTCTAGTTCTGCTATTTTCTGTAAGGCTTCCCTGTGGCAAGTCTCACTTTGAAGCAGCTTATCTTCTAAATCATTCACTATTTTACACACACACACCACAAAAGACAAAATGCTTAATCATCAGCATGCCAGGGTCTTTATGCAACACCAACTACCTAGTAGCATTTGTGGTCATAATAAATTTTCAGTATCAGTATTTTTTAGGACAATCTAGAAAAACAGTGACTTCTTATTCAAAAGCCTTCCTATGGCATGTAAGTCTTTGCTATGTTTTCACTCAATTCATGACTTGAAATATGAGGATATATCTCAAAACATCTGGCCAAAGAGAAAGTGCAGGGACAATATAGTAATTGAATATGCAGTGCTATGAAAAATGCAAGCAGAATTGCTGGTATTCCTCTGGTTTAAAACAATGGTACAATTAAATTAAATGGAAGAGAATGGATTGGAAAGTTTATTTCCACAGACTCCCTTGTGAGATTTTCTGTTTCTTTTAAAGAGCTGAATTTTTGTGAGTAGCATATGCCTTTATGAAATGTATGTGCCTCATTTGATTATCACAGTAAGAATCTGCATTGCTAATTTACAGGGAAACTACTTATTCATTTCACCTGGGGTAAAGGTATATACCACAGAAGTGAGAATTTGCAAAGGTTTGTTAAAAAAAAGCTTGTGATTTTTTTGCATTGTGGGGGTGTTGTTTGGTTGGTTTTGGCTTTGTTTGTTTGGGGGTTTTTAACTATGGAATTACTAATACATTAAAAAAATTATCATTTTTTGACTCTCATGTACTTGATTATGAAACAGGGGGAAATGGAAGAATGTCTAATACATAAACAGAAATAGCATAATGAAAGGAAGCCTGAGAAACAAAATAGCCAAATTACCCTCATTTGCCTTTTTATTGAGCTCTGATCTTGCTTCTTCCAAAGTGATATCCAACTGATTTATCTGCACTGTTTTGTTTTCACCATCTTGTTGTAATTGCACTACTTCTTTTTCCATATCAATAAGTTCATTCTTGCACTGATCCATCTCCAATTTAATCTGCCTAATAGAAGCAACCAGAAAAAAATTAACCATGTAATAAAAGCAACATGTGTATACCCTTACATGCTCTAAGACAAGGGTTTGTGAATAAAATAGAAATAAAAAGTCATGTTAAGTAGGCTTTTCTTGCAATCAAAACAATATTTTTTAAGACTAGCAAGCTCCCCTAGAATATACTATCTACAATTACAAGCAAGTTGATACATTTATTAATTGAACTGCATCATGAAGTGCCATCTTAAGGCTAAATAAGTTGCCAGGATATGCATTAATTCGACTGGAAAACTGTTCCAGAAACTCATGCCTCTGCTATTTAGAAGCTTCCCTTCTGAATTTGAGTCTATGCTCATACAGAGGCTGAAGTGTGTAACTACAGAGCTGAATACCATTTCAGACAGCAATCTTTCTGATCCATGTCTCTGTGCAGAACATCCCTCTGTTACACTGAACCTACCTGATTGTACAATTCAGTTCATCCACCTTCTGTCCGTTTAAATCTGCTTCCTGAGCAGCAAAGCGAAGTTTCTCCTCCACCTTTCTCAACTCATCTGCTGCACATGCTTTCTGATTCTGAAGCTCCTTCTCCAAAGTGGATACCTGGCAAACAGTATTCAGAGTAAATTGCATTCCAAAGAAACATACATCCTTGTCTTGCAACTCACATAACATAATGAGGGGTTTAACGCAGCAGATGTCTTTATAGTCTATATATAATTTAAGACTAGAACTTTGCACATTTGAAAGACAAGTAGTTTCTAGTAAACATAGCAAGAGACAACTTTCTGAATTTAAATGCACCTCTCCTTAATTGCAGTCTAGGGTTTGATTTTCAAAGTACTTAGCCACTCTAATGCGAGCTAGCATTTCTGATAGCACAGAACCTGGTTTAAGATAAAACAGACCACTAAACTCTTTATTTTAGATATATCTAAAATCATAATTATCAACTCAGTTATCAAAGAAACATTCAGATTTTAAAGGTATTACAAAAACATATCTAAAGGCATTTAATTTTCTCTCTTTACGTAGACACTTCTCACCATACTGTACCTGTTGTTCAAGTTTAATCTGATTATCTTCCAGCTCCCCGTTTCTAATAGTTTCTTGCTGTAACATTTGCTGATGATGAAGCAAAGTTTGTAGGAGAGTAGTTTGTTCACTCGTGTCCTGAATATTCTGATCTTTTTTTTTTATTTCTTTCTGCAAATAATGAAGCTGAAAAGACATTTATTTTCCATTAAAATAAAACATTTTTATTTTCACTTGCATAGCTATTCTCTCTTAATGAGCACAGAATCACATCTATGATTCAACAGAACTTCTGGCTCTGAATTTAGTTGCATTACAGTTGCAACAGTACATAACAGACCTCATAATTCATCCCTGAGTTGTGCTTTATAAAGTAGGTTAGGATAGTGGTAACTTAGCAGTCCCAGTTTTTGATTCTTGCTTTCTAAATATAGCTTGTCAATGTTTTAAGAACATACATAAGAGATTTTTAATTTCAGGGTCTGGCAATCTCTGTTTGACCGAAGCCTCTCTCTCAGCAGGTCAGCACTGACATGAAGAGCCTACTATATAATTAGTTCATGTGGTTGGGCATACTCACAAAGAAAAATTCATCCTAATATTTAAACTCAATTCCTTCTTGCTTTCATGTAGTAGTGGAAAGTATGATAAAACTCTGGGGCTTGAAGTAAACATTTTCTTATGCCCAGGACTTCTTCCCCATCAAGATAGTTGAAAAACAAATCAATTATATGCACCTAAATTTATATTGCAATACTGCTCCCTCCATTTTTTTCCCCAAGAGAATGCTTTGTTTCACATAATTCTGATTTGTTACTTCTTTCAACAATTCATTTATCTGGGTGCTTCTTTTCCCTAAGCTTATCCAGTGTTTCTTAAGTATGATTTTTCCCCTTTACCCTCACAAAATGCATCATCTTTTCCCAGCTTACTTCCTATTCACAGTTCCTGTTGCAAATGTTTTCGCTGTTATTTTACAAACTTTCAGATTAAATCAATCATAACAAGTGTTCTCTGAAATACAGAAGAGTTGTAAAGCAAGCTGTTACCTCTTCAGACCTGTCTTTGAGCTGATTTTCAAACACCTCCTTATTTTCTTGTGACTGACTCAAATACATTACAACTTCTTCCTTACATACCTTTAATGCTGACTCGAGTTGTTGTACCTAGTTGGATGCAATAGATCACTTAAAATTGCATGGCATGGTCTGTATCAGCTAGTCTAAAAATTGTGTTAAAAGTCATCTTCGTATAAAATGTCCAAAAAGCTACATTTTTATTGAAAGAGTATTAAAATAGTCATGGAAGATTATGATAAACTTTAAAACTGAAATAGTATTCAGAAATTAAAATTATTTGTGAAATTCAATTACAGTACTTTAGACTGTGTTTAAACAAGATGAGACTATCAGTTACGAGAAGATATTCCAATATTTGTCAGTAGCTAGAATTTAAAAGCAGACATATGCCCAATACCAAATCATTAATCCATCATAGGTTGTTATATATAGAACTATATAAAAAAATTTGGAATAATCATCATATGTGAGCTGACACATGTTTTCCAAAAATAACACTCAGATACAAAAATAACATTCTTGATACACTTCTTTTGAGAAAGTTATTAACAGCATGTTTTCCCTTTCTGCACTGGGAGACAGTGCCAGAGTTTCACCAAAAGGGAAAGGAAGAGCTCTGAGCAATGTCAACACTGTTAATCTGCTTTACCCTTTTAATATTAATTTGAATTTGAGTCTCTCTAAAAAATACCTTATAACCTCAAACAGATAAAAATTATAATTAACAAACCCCCAAAGGTCTTGAGCCATAGTAATTAAGCTTTTCTTAACCATTTGGTTGCGATACTAAGACTTCTCATCAATGAGAATTGTGGTGAATTTAGCTGCAGACTGGCTGACGCTTTCCATTTTGCAATCAGACTACCAGTTTTCTAAATCACACTGGACTATATATCTCTCTCTCCCCACCCCATTCGAGAGTCTGTTGAAGAGAAATTACAATGGGTCTTAATTTTAAATCTCTGTAAAACATCCCAAATACTACAAAGCCACTTGGATAGCAAACAGGTCCAACACGAGCTCAGAAAGAGCATGCTAACAGCTGAGACCTCAGTATCTTCTCCTGCCGATATCCTGGAGATTTAATACTGTTTGAAACCTCACTGGGGTAAATCACCACATGGCACTGGTTCATTAAGATACTGTTGAAAGAGCTGCAGGGAAAATATTTATCAGGCAAACACTAGGAAGAGGCATAGATGGCTAAAAACGTGACCAATATTATAACATCATATATATCTAAAATATATGCCATATCTAGACAAAAAAGATACATAACATTAGTTCTGTTAGACAAAGTTGTACTTTGAGAGTACAATAAGCACAAGTCTGTCCTATTTGTAACTACAATAATTTTATAAAGCAATTATGCATTGCATGATCCCTTACTGTAGGTTTCACCATACTTGTTTTAATCAAAAAAAAAGAAACTAAACCAAAAAGAAACAACAGAAAAAAAATGGAAAAACTTCAGGTCAATGACTTCTGAAATATTTACCTAAGACAAATTTCTATAAAAAATTTTTTCTATAGAGGATAAAAGGAAATACACCATTACTGCAAACTTCAAAACTATTAATTGAAAATAACAAAGAACTTATTAACTTTGATTGTTTCTTCTGTTAAGTGACTTCCCAGCATCTTCAATCCTTGATGTTTCTTGACATTTTGATTTTCCATTTCCTGTTTGTACACATATTTTTATTCAAGAGAACAAAATGTAAATATAGTAAAAGTAATTTAATAAAAACTCATATTAAGAATCAAGGGAAAAAACCCAGATCAGTGTATTTAATACACAATTGCTTCTATAATGTATTTGTGTACATGATACTCTGAAGTAAATTTGGTTCCTGACAGATGTCCCTTCATATTCTGCATAGCAGGCATTATCAGACTAGAACATTCTTGATTTTCCACCTAGTGCAGAATAAATGCAACTTTTCTTTATCCAGATCTGTTTCCTTTGATCAGAGCAAGAAGCCCAAGGGGCAAACCACAGACATAAAGAGAATGCTGAGATAGAAAAAAATGAAAGGCCACTGAAGTTTGTACAATATATACAGTATATAGCAGTATATAGCAGTATATAGCAGTATATAGCAGTATATAGCAGTAACTGGTGACTACACTAGATTCAGTCAATTAGTCAAACAAGAATTAAAAAGCAAAAACATAAGCATCTTTAATTTTCTCCAATTTTCCCATGTATTTATGGATGTGCTTTTCATTATTATTAGTCACTTGTTCAATTTGCATTTAAAGAAAGTCAAGAGCCAACCTTACCTCTCTGCTTCCTATCAGCAGCCCATCCAATGATTCAATGTAATGAAGCTGTTTATGTATAACCTCTTGTTGTAAAACAGATATTATTTTCTCTTGTTCAATGAATTGTTGATGTTTCTGCTCCAGCTGTGTCTGAAGCTGTCCATAAGTAAATCATAATTTATTACTTAGATAAGAATTTTTGCATCTAAATGTCATTCAGTTCTATTCACCCATCACTTTTCTAATGAAAAGTAAATACAGTCTTGCCATCAGCAGTATTGCAGAGTCTTAAAATTATCAAGAAATCCCAAACTCTCAATGTCTTAAATCAAGAGGAGAATCAAGAGAATGAGAGCAGACAGACTGCAATAATCTGTCATCAGCCAAGACACGCATACATTCTTTAGTAAAGGATGATAAGCTTCTTGAACAGCTAGAAATAGCCTCAGTTATATTTCTAATCACATGAAGCAACAGAATTCTTCTTCAAAGAATGAAAAACCTACCAAGTATTCTCCCTGAACACAGATGCTCATAAGATGCTCAGGCTGGCAGAGGTTCAGCCAACAAGAAAACACTGTTAGAAGCTGTCATGGTTTAAATCCAGTAGGCAATAAAGCTATACTTTTTTTTTTTGCTTTGTTTGGAGCAAAGAACAACAGCACTCTTCCTAAGTCCTTACTTCTCTTTAGTTGAGCAGAAAAGAGGATATGAATATTTCAGAAGGACAGTTGTGTAGAGTTAGATGGAAAATGTAGTAAAATCAGGAAACCTACGGAGAAGAATGAACTTCTTAATATAACTTTTTAAATGGATGTGTCTCACAATTACAAGAAAGACAAAGAAATTAACATAGGAAAAAGTTACCAAGTATAACACTCATACATACTAGCACACAAGGTCTTACTAGTTCTATCTGTTTCTTCATCTCTTTGTGCTGCTCAAGGTGAACCAACTTTGCATTTTCAAAAGCAGAATTTATTTTCTTATGTTCTTCACTGATAGTTGCTTCCAACTCATGAATGCGTCTGCTTTTTTCCTGGGAAATGGCAACAATAGAAAGACTTAAAAATATTTTGTGATATTAGCAGTTTATTTGATCATCTAGTTTCTAGATTTTGTAAAAGAACAACACAGAAAATACTGAAGTTACACACTGCATGTGTCATCTCAAAGGATGTCACACCTGTAACACAGGTAGAGAAGATCAGTAGAAGCAGCAGCTACAGAGACAAGGTGTCTGCCAAGGTGGACTATGGCATAGATAACTTCTGACAAAGATAAAAAGAAATTCTACCCTCCCCTGGAGAGATGGCACATTTAAAATAGCATTTTGAAGACTATTTTAGTCACAGGTCTAAATGTATTTCACTGAAACAAATGGCAATGCTACAATTGACTTCAATAGGACCAGATCTTCATTGCACATATCATAAGGAAAAAGTAGCATGTCCGTTAATAGCTTACCACATTCAAAGGCAGGGAAAAAGGAATGTTTTATTTGAAACAAGATTCAGTTTTTAAAGACTGCATACCCTAAAAACTGCACAGATTATTTAGCAGATCTGAAAGTCTATCCATTTTGAATACTACTGTTAAGTTAAACTTTAATCTCCACTTGTCTTTTTACATAAATATAGTTTCTCAGTGAGAACATTTTACCATGAGTTCCTGTTCCAACTCAGCATTTCTTGCTGCAGCAGTGGAATAAGCAATAGTCTTTTCTTCCAACTGTTCTTCAAGTTCAGAAAGTTGAGAAGATTTCTTTCTCATCTGAAATTAAACATGGCACTAAACAGCATGTAAACAACTGTTAGGGGTTTATTCAAGTATTTGTATATACTTTCTTATCACCGGTTCCATTTTAGGTACTACTATAGCTTTTTTAATTAATCGTTTGTTTTGTTGATCTATTAAATTTTATTACTTAAAGATTCAGGACAATTTACCTAAAATTTATCCAATTAATGATAACTGTGAGCAAAATAGCTACTACAGATTTATAATATTTATGTCCATTATTAGGAAATACTTCAAATCCCATTATGCCGAACTCTATAAACACATTAGCATCAGAATGTAAACATTAGTATTTTAACTTATTCAACCTGAGATGAGCTGAAGCCTAATTTCTTTCATTTGTGACTCTCTGGTAATGATGTTTATCTCTGGCAACTGTACTAACATTAAATAAGGAAAAATACAAGTGTATTTCAACATCTATTTCCTAAGATTACACATTAATTAAACCAGAGACTGAGCATAGTTTCCACATAACAAATCAAAGTAGTAGTAGAGAAGCCCACCACTACATCAGCTTTAAAACCATATTTCCAACAGTTAATAAACTGAGGCTTCTATCTTTAAATTTTTCTGCTTGCTGAAAACTTTAATTCAGATTTTTCTCAAATAAACCAGATTTTAAAATTAATACGGCAATTACAGTTAACAATTATTGAAGACAATAACTATTGTCTTCACTCTCTTTGCTTACTGAAATGAAGAAGTAGTGACATCTTTTCAGTGCTGCTAAAAACTTACTTCTTTCTCTAAGCTACTAGTTTTTGAAGCCTTCTTCAGTAGGTCTTCCTGTATGATTTGAAACTGGCTGGTCCTTTGAGCCATGCTGCTCTTCAAAGAAGAATTTTCATCATCTGCTTTTGTCAGTTTAGTGCGTAACTCTTCTATCTCTTTCTGGAATCTTCGCCTCATCTTTTCAAACTGCTTGCTTATAAGTTCCAACTGTTGGCATTTTCTCCTCTCTCAAAGTAGAAAAAAATAAATCTAAGATTAATTTATACAAGTACATACAAACCTGTAATGTAACTGAAAGCTATGACTCATGAAAACAAATGAAAGAGCCCCCAATAAAAACCCAACAAACAAACAAGAAGAAACCAAGACAGCATCATTAGGTGCCCTGAAGGAATTTCTTGGAGCAGTCCTGATAGTAATCACAGAAGCAATGGCAGAAATACTGCAACAGCAGGTTACAGAGAAAAGCATCAACAAAAATATGAAGACCTTAGCATAACCTGCCTAAAGAGAGAAATGCATGGTTCCATTTCAGTACAACTCCTAGCTTAGCTATTGCTGAACAAGTAACTTAACTAGCAAAAGAAAGAATATTGTCCCTGGAGAACATGACAGTTTCCAAGGTGGCAAAATTCTCACTGTTCAACCAAACCATACCTCATAGCTCACAGAGGTACATTTAAAAAATAAAACTATAAAAACAATTTAAACCCCACCAGAACATTTCTGTTCTGTGGATTAATCAGACAGAACTGCATAGCTATTTCAGAAAGCTTACCTCCTTGACTTCTGATCAATTTGACAGGCTCTGTTTCCAGGCCACATAACCTGCTATTTTCTTGTCCTTCATTATCATTAGACAGATGCTCAGCTCCAGTACAGATAGTTAAGTTTGCACGAGGCTTTTGAATTTCAGCTTCTTTCATTGACAGTTTAATGCTATTATAAAGGAGAAGACAACTTCAAAATGCTATTATAAAGGAGAAGACAACTTTAACATTCTTTCTATATCCTAATTCTAATACCACCTTATTATCTGCCTATTCTTGCCATAATTCAGTAACCAGAAAGTTATACCTTAGGTCTGCAATCAAAGGTTTACTTGATTCACCACAAGACTCTGAGATAACTTCTTTTGTTGAGGAACTCAAAAGCTGGTGTTTGAAATGGTGCCATTTAAGCTAAAAGTTAAGGGAAAACAAAGATCAATGAAAAATCAATTTTATGTTGCTTCACAGCATGATTAATTAAGGTATTATATCAGCATACAAATTTTAAGACACATATGCCAGAATGTTAAAAGTTTGGATAACTTGATTCTTAAAATTATTCAACACATAATACACTTCTAAGTCTGTATTTGTTACTGTACCTCTTCAGATGTACTTGAAGACAACTGAGAAATAATGGTTTCTAGTATGTTGAGCTCTTCCCTTGAATTCTCAATTTCTTGATGACATAATTTCAAGTGGTTATGTTGCTGTGCAGTAAGTGCTCTCAGCTCTGCATTTTCACTTATTAGAGCATTTTGCTCTTTAAGCACATTTTCTTTTTCAGAAAGTTCACTCTCAAGCTTGATGATCTTCTGATCAGACCGACTCAGCATTGATGTAATTTCAGTGTTCTTTGCCTCTAGAGTCTTAATTTCTTCTTTTGTGCTACTATTCTCTTCCTTTAATTGCCTAAAAAGGCATTTAAAAGGTATAGCTCAACATAGAGGATTTTCACTATTAGAAGTACCAGAACACACCATAGCTGCACTGTTTTACTAGTTTCCTCCCTCTCAAAATCTAGGCTTAGCTCTATACAAAGGACAGAAAAGTTCTCACTGCTTTACTAAGCTTTCACTGTTCCTAAGAACCAAGATGTAAAGTGTTATCAGCAAACAAAAGGAGAGAGTCAACAACTTCTCTTTCTTAAGCAACTTCATGAAGTTTTGAGCACTGCCAGGACAGTCACTGGTAGGAAATGAACCAAACGGCTTTAACTGCGCAGAAGCCAGGGCAATTTAAGAACAGGATAAAATAACTGTATAACAATATGTAAAATCAAAATGGATGAAAATACTGAGTTACTCTATCATTCTATTACTAACAAGAGAGGGAGGGGGCCCATTTCTCCCTTCATATCTGCTTGTACACTGAGACAAATGTATTTTTAGCTCATCTCAAATTATTTACTTTTTTAGGTACTTGTTGGTTTACCAAACTGAATTAGCTCAGCAAAGGCCCTGGTGAGTTCCAAACCTGGTGTAACTGAGCAGAAAAAAAAGAGAACAGTCAAGAAAAAAAAAAGCAACACATCATCAGCAGAGACCTATCAAGTAGGCTCAAACTCACGGAAGGGTGTTCACACACTGCCCAGTCTTGCCAAAATGGCCTAAAGAACAACGGTTTAGACAGGAATGTGAGTGTGGACAACGCATATAAATAGAATACCCCAAAATGTCTGTGCAGGTGTTTGTCCAAACTTAACAACTCTAAAGACAACCAGCTCATGGTTGTCTTCCTTCATTAAAGTCATGAGGGAATTACAAAGGACTGCTGAAAAAAGGGGCATTCAGCTTGAAACAAAACATACAAGGAGTATAAAAAATTGTAAGTGGAAAAGGACTTTTGAGTTGTGACAGAAAGCATCAAAGCCAGGTCTGATCATTCCAGAAGCTGCAGTCAGCACCACAACCTCCACTGCAGCCTGAGTGCAGCCTCCCCATTGGATACCAAGAGTATCCTTCACTCCAGCCAGGGAACTCACAGGGTAGGAGCATTAGCAGGGCACAGGCAGCAGCACAGGTACACGTGAAACCAGAGTACCCACAGAGCACAGGCAGCAGTGAGTGACCAAGGGAACCACTGTCCCCAGAAGGCTTAGGGGGGTGGCATTTTACTGGGAATATGTGGCAGCATGTGGGATTAAAACATTTAAAGATTAGTTATAGAAAATAATGTAGAAAAAATTACTGGTTTGAACTACATGAATGGAGCAGCACATTCACAGTGACAACTGTAGCATGCAATTCCTTCTCAAAAAACCGTACAGAGATTTTTAAAAGCCCTTGCGTTACCTTAGTTGCTCTTCTAGGATGTTTAGATCCTTTCTGTAGCTGATACATTTTTCATTCAACTTCTCTTTTTCTTTTTCACAATTAATTAAATGTTTTCCCAAGACTAATTCTTCAGCTTTAACCTTAAAAAGCAATTTTTTTCATTACTGTACAACAATAAACTAAGCTTCTATGGCCAACTGGCTATTTTTAAAAGAATACTATAAACACTATGCTCTTTTTTTCCTTTCTGGGAAGTCTGTAAATTATTCTATTGCTCACTGTTGTGAAGAAAATGGGCAAAGAAGTTTTTTTCTTGTGTCATCTGGGAAAAAATTAATTTAATATTTTAGGGCATATTTATGGTGGGCAATCTCCTTCCATGTGGAAAGAAGTCCAATAAAAAAAAAAAATCTCAGTCAGAGTTAACTGTCTCAGACCTGTATTTTCTCCTCCCATAAGGCAGGAAGCATTACCAATCTGATCACTGGAACTTTGGGAGATGACTTCATCTTAGCTCTCCTCTAGCTCATGTTTCATTGAACAGGTTAAACATACAGAGTAAAAGAGTTCTTTTGAAAGGATCTTATATGTTTAAAATGTAAAATTCCCAGCTGGCAGGCAGGGGACAGAAGAAACAACAGCACTATTAGGATACTCTAAAGATGCAGACTGTCCAGACTGTGCAATGACAGTGTAAAACTGTATAACTGAATTTATCACCACAAATAGTTGCTTACCCTACCCCATCTCTCTTAGGACTTTGCCACTCACAAGCAGAAATGACTGACTCACTGGTGAACCTGTTGCTGTTAGCTGCCTTGCTTATTGGAAGATGAAAAATCTTAAAAACATGGCAAAAACTAGTGAAGAAAAAACTCTCACCTTTTCTAATTTTTCAGTTATTTCTGCTTTATACTTTTTGAAAGCTCTTGTCAGCTCCTTCACGTTCAACAAAGCTTCATTTCTTTGCTGTTCTGCTCTGCAAAGCCAAAGAAGCAAACCAATTTCAAAACCCACAAATTCCAGCCATTATGTAACTATCTCCTCCAGTTACTAAAAACAATTATTAAAGTAATTGCTCCAGGTACTTCCTTTCCTCATCTAATTTTCCAAGGCATAGATGTCATGCGAGAAACTGCTCAAAGGAACAATCCCTAGTATTTCCCTCTATCACCACGCTCCTGCCCCTTCCCCTATTGTTACTCACTAGGGAAGAAGTTGGAGCAGTAACCTCAGGTATGCAGTCTGTTCAGGACACCCAACACAGGCACACAAAGAATTACTGCTGCTCAATAACATTTCTCTCTTCCACTAAGGGAGATGTGGACATGGGGCAGTGCCTCCTCTAAGTACGGCCAACCCTCAGAGCAGTGTTTCTCAGTCTGAGGACCACCATCCATCTGGAGATGGTAAAAGTATTCAGAGAAGGGGATAAAAGGATTTCAGAATAACAAAACAGTGTTAGTCTAAAGCACTTCAGTTTCCCTGGCCAAAGAATAGTAAGTTGTGGCAATTAATGATTAAAAGAAAACTGTAATAATAACACTAGCCATAACACTTGCCTTTAACACCTGGCAGAGGCTCAACTTTTCTTAAGCACCAAAATATTTAAATTTGCAACTAGTAACTAAGTACAGGTAGTTCCAACCCCACATGCTCTGAATGGTGATCATAAAGCAACACATTTCTTCAACCAGCAGTGCAAGCCCCACAGTATTTCCATTTGTCTTGCTATAAGAAGGTTAGAGGTAATTTTATGGGTAGATACACAAACCAAACAAAGAGTTTGCATTCAAAAGGTTCGAGAAATGCTTTCCCAAGTAATCAGTTAATTTTTGCCCCAGGTAATGGAGTTAAATGAATAGGGTAGATAGGAATCTTTTTATTTAATCCTCTCACTTTTTTAAAATGACGTTTTGGAAGTGATAGTACATGGTAACTTCTAACAGTCAAAAGAAATTAGCTAACCCTCCCAGTAGCCACAGAGCCGTTAGGCTAAAGGAGGCAATAGGAAAGGAAAACAGTGAAGGAGACAGAATTACAGAACCCTTTTCAACAGTACCATATAGACAGGTAAGATTAAGGATAACAAAAACGTTCTCTCGATTATGTTGCGCCTTTATCACTTTCCTTGCACCAACCCCAAAAACACAGCACTCAGTACTGCTGAATACTGAGCGGGGATTGTAGGTTCTTGCAAGGCAAAGACAAAAATAATTCAGGAAAAATATATTCTGGATGCTTTTTTCAGCTCTCCACTGCAGTATATCTGTCCTGAAGGAAAAAAAGCAGCTGATAAACTGGTTACTAGTATCAGTCTGCAATTACCAGCTAATTTCAAGATTTTAAATGTGCGTGTTTAAATAATCAGTACCTTCACATAGAATTTCCTCTTTTTTAAAAAATAACATCCTTAAAGCAGAAAAGTAACTTGATTCCACAGAATAACTATCAATGGAAATAATCACACACTTATTATTCTGTATTCCATTTATTAAAATGACTTAGTACCTCTTTCCTTGCTTGCTCCGTTCAATTAACTCCATTTTCAGATTTTTATAGCCCTTTTGATATCTTTGCAACATGTTTTCTCTTTCCAGTGCTGTTTTCCGGTTTTGATCTAGTCTATCTTCTGCATCTCTAGCAAATAAATAAAGCATAATAAAAAAATTAGGAACTTTTTTGTAAAGAAAATAGATTTCTGTTGTTCTTTTCTGCACATGATGTTTGAGAAGCACTAGTCAAACACGCTGCATCTCTCTAGACTAGGCTTGGAATACCCCCAGTCTCCAGACTCCCCAGCAGTATGTCTGCAGTCTGGTGTCCAAACCTCATCAATAGGCATCAGGTGTCACAACTGCCAAGGACCCAGGTGGCTGACCCTTTATATCACAAAGTGCACCATCATGTTTGAAAATATATATGCTTGCTACAACAGAATATATGCAGTCATGCAGCACACAATCCCTCTATTCAATTATCAGGGTATAGTTGTGTTTAGCACGCATTATAACCTGGTTTCTTCCACCAGCCTTTATAATTTTTTCTGAATTTCTTGAAGTACATTCAGCACAAAATAGATCACCTCCCTCCTCCTATATTTGGCTCTGAAATGAAATTTTCAGACCCCAGATTACATGACTCACACAGTACCAGTAATTATGTCATCCCAAAAAAGAGACTGGACTAGCAAGCAGACAACAATAAAACATTGATTTAAAAGTACACTTATTACTTCAGAATTTTATCTTGAGCTGAAACTTCTGCTTCCAAGTTTAAAATCTGTTCTTTCAACTTCGGAACGCTGACTAAATGTGTACCTAAAGTGGATTCAAGATACGAAATCTGAAATACAAACATAATTGGGGTTGCATTAACACTTGCATATATATCTTCAGGTGATACACTTAAGAACAATCTGCTTACTGAATGACAGTGCTCTTAACCCTACTGTAAATTACCTTTGCTCATCTACACCAACTGACCTCTAATTTTCTGCTCATTTAACATCCCTTCCAGTTCCAATGTGATATGCTGTCTAGCAGAGGAATTTCTTTATATGTCCAGTCTCTTGCTTTTCCCAAAAAGTTTATATTCAACTATTTCTTCTTTCAGTGTCAGGCAGTCAAATGTTTTGTTTAACTATTTATTTGTACTGTCTTGGAGATAACATTTCTCAAACGAAAAGCACTAAGCATACCTATGTTTTCTTAACGTGATATACAAACCAAATACAAGAATACAATTGTCATGAAACAAACCTGTACAGACAAGTATATACTAAATCAGTAATGATTTATTAGATATTTCTTTCTAATCCATCTTCACTTATTAATTTATTAATTTGGATTAATGAGGTTAACTCTTCATTTCCTCTGCAAATGACTACTGTGCCATTATTATTCACATTAATCTCAATGTAGCTCAGACATGTGAATGTACAGTACTAAATACATATACTGAACTATTTTCTTTCATAATGTGTTTTTCATTCTATGGCTTACTGGCTTTACACTAAACTGTGGAACATGAATAGCTAGAATTCATAATTAATATAGTTGTTTTGCCCATGGAGAAGTAGATTCCAAAATATTCTGTTCAAGATTAATACGGAATATTAAATACATATTAAATATTAAACTTAGATTTAGATAAGACAAAAAAATAGCATATTCTGCTTGGAATTATAAACTCAAAAATCAAGGTCATTGGGATGTTTGGGGGGGTTGGGGTTTGTTTTTCTTTTTGATGAATATGCTAAAGATACATACTTTTGTTTTTGACTGCATCAATTCAAAGTTCATTGTTTCTACTCTGTTCTTTAGGTAGTGGTTCTGAGAAGTCAAAGATGCATTTTGCTCTTGAAGACGCTCATTTTCTTCCACAGTTTTATCCGAAGTTGTGGATACTGAGTAAGACTAGACACAAAAATATATTTTTATATATACACACACACTTATATATGAATACATAAGCAATATATACATCATAAAATCATAAATAGTTTGGGTTGAAAGAGACCTTTAAAGGACATCTAGTTCAACCACCTTGCAATGATCAGGGACAACTTCAACCGCATCAACTTGCTTAGAGCCCTGTCCAACCTGACCTTGAATGTTTCCAGGGATGGGAGATCTAACACCGCTCTGGAAAACTGGTGCCAGTGTTTTATTACCCTCATAGTAAAAAATTTACTTGTTACACCTAATCTAAACTGATTAAAACCATTTCAGTTTAAAACCATTACCCCTTGTCCTATTGGAACAGGCCCTGCTAAAAACTTTGTCCCCATCTTTCTTATAAACCTCCTTCAAGCACTGAAAGGCCGTAATGGAAACTTTGCAGAAAAACCATATTGAAATGATATTATGTTTAAGAGTGCTCAGTTGGTATCATTGTCCAGTGCTACAGTGTATCCGCTCCAAGCCCTACCAGCCAAAAAACATCCAAAAATATAGCAAAGATTAGAAAACCAAAGTAATAATAATAAGTAATAAAGAGCAATATTTACTTTGGGTTTTCTTTGAAAATCTTGGTCAGATGTTTTACCACAATTCTTCTTGGGGTTGGAAAAGCCTTGACTGTTATAATTAGGCTGTACAAAATCCTCCAGAGCGAAGTCTGTCGCCTCAGCAAAGCAGTGGCCGTAATGTTCATTTGTACTAGTGTTAGGAGGGAGAGTGAAAAGTTACTACTCCAGTTTTTCTTTATTAAGTTGCTTATTAGGGTTGTTTATTCAAGACCGTTCAAACGGAAAGCACAAAAGGAGCTAATTGCAGTAATCCATTACACTGAACAAGACAGATTCACACTATGAGAGACAGACAGTTCTCATTCCCAAACACACACATACCTGGAAAGCTCTTTCTCTACTGTTTGAAGGTTTTTTTCAGTTCTCCTCAGCTGATTCTGTAATAACTGAACGTTTGCAAGCAGATCTTCATCAGTACCACTTTTAGAGCAAGTCCACCTAGTACATTCCATTGGTACCACACATATAGCTAAAATCATATTTAATATTAAAACACTGTTAAACATACGTGAAAACTATTTTCAAAGATATTTTTAAAGATACCAAAAGAAGGTGGAGAGAAGACAAAAATACAAAAAAAAAAAGCAAATACTTTTGTCTTTCTTTCTAAGAAAAGAGAAAACACAAATTTTCAAATGTAAAGGTACATTTCACACACTACCTCTTCCCATGTTCACTGGATAAAAATAACTGTACAAATTGCCTCTTTCGAGAAAAGGAGTTCTGTATACGTTCATGAAGCACAAAAAGCTTCGCGACTTGTCATATAGGAAAACTGGAAAAGCCCGCTATACATTAGTTGCCAAAACTCCCTCACACAGAGCAGCGCGGTGACCTCGGAGCTCCCGGGGAGTCCGACACGGGAACGGCGCACACGCCAATGAGCAAAACTTGCCTCGCTGCCAGTGACCAGCGAAACGACAAACGAAAGCAAAATATCCTCGGGCGGACGGGCAGTGCCGAGCGGCGCGGGGGGAGCAGCGCCGGGCGGAGAACGCCGCGGGAACCCCGCCAGGGGCCCGGGCTGGCGGAGGGCTGAGGCACGGGGCGCTGGGACGGAGGCGGCAAGGAGGGACCGTCCCGCGGCCCCGAACAGGTCGGTGTCGGGCCCAGCCCCGGTGCCGGTGCGGCCCCGCCCCTCTCCCGGCACGGCCGCGCCGGAGCCCCCCCGCCTGCGCTCGAACCGCGCGGGTCCCACACGGCGCACGCGCGGCCCCGCGGCCCCGCCGCCCTAGAGGCGCTGTGAGCGGGGTCAGCGCGGGCGGCCGCAGTGCACTGTGGGCGGGCGGGGCGCGGCGGCGCCGCGGCTGCGATTGGTGCAGAGGGCCGGGGGCGGGGCGGCCCCGCCCCCGGCCGAGCGCGCGGGGTTGGGGCCGCGATGGCGCCGCGGCTGCTGCTGGTGCCGCTCGGGTGCCTCGCGCTGCTGCTGCCGCCGCCCCGCGCCGCCGAGTTCAGCCCCTCCCTCGACAGCGACTTCACCTTCACGCTGCCCGCCGGCCGCAAGGAGTGCTTCTACCAGCCCATGCGCAGGGACGCCTCGCTGGAGCTCGAGTACCAGGTCGGGGGGTGGAGGACGGGACGAGACGGGACGCGCGGCCGGGGCCGCCCAGGGAGGGCGGGAGTGTCCCGAGGGGAGCGGGGGTCCCGCATCCCGCCGTGTCCGCGCCGGTGCCCCTGTGCAGCGGCTCGGTCCGGCCCCGCTCCGGGCGCTCCGTCATGCCTTCCGGGGCCGCGGCGCTGCTGCGGGAGCCGGGGGGGGGCCGTGCCCTGCCTCGAGCAGCGGCCAGACCTGGGCGGGGGAGCCCCGCCAGCTGCCGCAGAGCCACGCTGGAATCGTACGCTGTTAAAAGCTGTGCCTCGGGAGGAGAAAATTACCTGAACAGCCTTTTGTAGTTATGCTGGCAGATTTTTTTTTAACACTTTCCAGGGTCTCAAGTCGCCATCCTTTAAAACGGCAGAACGTAGGAAGTTCACGGATGTGACCTTTAAAGCGTAAGGAACATTGTACTGATGCACAGAGCCCCTACTTGTCTATCTTTGTGTTAATATTAAAACACCGTTCATTACAGTGATGAAAGTTTTACAAAAACAGCCCTGTTTAACTAGACTGAAATTAAGGTCTTGATGTCTTCCTGGGAAGAGTTGAGTCTCCTAAATATGTCTGGGAAAGATTTCTGTCTCAGGCCTTTTTTCCTGTCCGTAAAACGAAGACTTTTTTGCAGTAGAATAGATACAGTGCAGAAAGCTGCAGTGAATATTTTCCCACCCTGCTACTGTGCCCAGATCTGTGTCTCTCTTTCCCTCCCTCCTTTTTTTCCCCTTCTGCTTCCCAACTGAAAGTACAAAGCTGAAAATCCTGATTATTTTCAAATTTCTAATATTGTTGCACACAGAACTGAGAAAGAATGAAAGACACATGTTTTCAAGCTTTGTTCAGAGCCCTGTCTAAGCATAACAGAAGTTTATTTTGCACTGAGTTGGGTTTTATTTTCATCATAAACTAAGTAAAGACATTATTTTAGAGAGAACAAATGAGTATAACAGTGAATTTCTTTCTACTCAGGCATAAATGTCTTAGCACTACTGCTAACGGTAATGATTTATCTTTCTATTTGAATGTTAGAAAAGGAGCTCTGTATGTTCTCAATGTTGAAAATTGATTTTGTACCTTATTATGTTAGTGGCTAAAGCATAGGAATATTTAACGTAGCATGCAGGTAATTCTTCTAAGACATAACGCAATAAACACTATGCTGATACAAAGTTGTTTTTCTGGGTGTTTGGAGTGGATCAAAGCCCTAAAGGTATGTCCCTGTGTGTGGTTTTTCAGCTGTTAGCTACTAATTTCCCTTGTCCTTTGACTTTTTTTTTGTAAGTCTCCAGTGCCCCTTTGAGTCAGCGTAAACTTCGCCCTCCATTTCAGCAGGAGCAGACTGCTGTACTCAAAAAGCTCTCTGGAAAACAAGCAAACAAAAAATCCCCTAGCATGGACCTAAGTAATGTCATAAAAATGATCCCTGTCTGCTCCCTTATGCAGTTAAGAGAATTTCCACAACACAACAGATGTGGTGATAAAACTGTAGCCATGTTATACAGTTAAAGCAGCACAGCTTTGTAATACTGTATACACTTCTTATGAGCTTAGGAAGCTAAATGCCTTCAATTCCTCCTATCTTGGGGAAAAAGAGAATACCCTGGCAGAGTTCAGACCTTAAATCTGCATCAGAAGGTGAGAACGTCTGTGGTATACCTTTGATTGGCCTAAGAAGTCTGGTCCTGTGCTCTACACTGTTAATTCACCCAACAAAGAGATCTTGGGGATGACAGTGCATAGTGTTCTTGTACAAGTATATATGTGCATATACATAGGAGTGACTTTTGTTATCAAATTTCTGCCACTGAACTAGTGCTAGTACTTACCAATCAATTATGTCTGCCATAGAAAGGCCAAATTTAGGCATCTGTTGTTGGTATTTTTACAGGTTGCCCATTGATAAAACTGTATGCATTCTTAAAAGTATTTAGGGAAAGGTTCAATATAAGCCTAGCCTAGCAAAATTAGATCATATTTAGTTTAAGATTTTGAAACTGCTAAAATGCTTTTGGGTTGAACCAGTTTTTAATCTGTTTCCAGTTAACTTGGTGTGAACTTATACAGACAGATTAGTCTTTCAGGTTCTTTATGTGTCAGTTCCCTTACCTAAAAACGTTGCCATCAGCAGTGCAAACAGGAATTCCACTGGTTGGAGCTTCACTTTTTGTTTGTTTCACAGGTTCTAGATGGAGCAGGATTAGATGTTGATTTTCATCTGCTGTCTCCAAAAGGTGAAACTCTAGTTTTTGATGAAAGAAAATCAGATGGAGTTCATACGTAAGTTTAAAATACTCAAACTCAGAAGTGTTACGTGAAGTACTTTTCTGGTTTCTTTAACAAATATAACTAAAGTAAAGGTTGAGTACTTTTTATTCCCTAGTATTAGAAAAGACTTTCTAATAGGACAGTTTGAGAATACCAACTTTCTTTTTATAAACACTGAATGCTTTTTACATGGAACGTATCGTGAAGCAAAGGATATTTTTGTTTTAATGATGTTAAGGGTCGGTGAACAAAAGTAATTATTGTGGAGTTGAAAAAGGTCTCCACATCTAATATCAAAAGATCTTGTCAGTCATATAAATAAGAAGCTAATGTCCCATATTTTTCCAATCCTTTTATCAAAATGTGTAATAGTTGTTGCAATTTTACTATAGAGCATAAGAATTCCACTCATTATAGGTTTTTTGTAGTGATTAACAATAATTCAAAATCCTCAAAAAGAAAAATGCTGTCTTCATCATTTTGAGCCTTTAGAGCCAGTGGGATTGTTTTGCTGTGACTGTGCAATCTGTAAAATGTCCCTAGAGTTCTTATTTTTATACAAAAAGCATATTTGGTTATTTTGAATGCACAGTTTTCAGTCTTAAAGGGGAAACTTTGCTTACAAAAACTCGCTTTTTGAGAACCAGAATAGTTAATTTAATCACATTTTGCTTATATACACAGGGTGGAAACAGAAGATGGGGATTACATGTTCTGCTTTGACAACACATTCAGTACCATTTCTGAAAAGGTAATTTTCTTTGAACTGATCCTGGACAATATGGGAGAAGATGGACAAGATCAGGAAGACTGGAAGAAATATGTTACAGGAACAGATCTCCTAGATATGAAATTGGAAGATATTCTGGTTAGTATTGATCTTTAATTCTTTTCCATGTAAGAACATTTGGAAAAAAACTCAAGTGTCATGTAGCCATTCTGCCTTGGTCTGGTGTGTCATCCTGGAAACTATTCCAGTTACTAATACAAGAAGCTCAGCACCATGGATCTCTTGCTTACAAACAGAAATTTGAAAATATTTTCAGAATAGGCCCTTCATCAGCAAGAAGAAACTGCCTAGGTCTCAAAGTCACTCTATTTCCAATTCAGCTTCCTTTCTTCCTACTGCTAAAATGGGACATTTTTCCCTAGCAGCAATGAATATTTATAGCATTAAAGTATTACTTCACCTCAATGATGTAGTTGGAACCACTGCATAGATTTTTATCAATGTTTGAAAATAAAGTAGTACGGATTAATATTTCTATCTTCAATAACTTAGATACTACTCTATTAGTTCTTTTGCCCCCAAATTTTATTACATCTTTTCAAACTAATAAACAGGAGTTAATTTGCATCACACCACGGGTTCAGCTTTGCAGACATTCTTTGAATGATTATGTTTCCTTAAACTGGATGCTGACCCTATTTGATGTAAGATTCAGAGTACTGCTGAGTCAAAGCTTTTATTCCCTCTAAGATCATTAAATGTTGAGATGACTCTAGAAGCAAAGGATTGTTTGGTGTTCCACTGTTCTTAGTGCTTGGTAGGATGCAGTGATCTGTTGTTTGTTTGATCATAGCTACAATTGGTATCTTAAAAAAAAAAAAAAATCCAAAAAACCAAACCAACATCCACATATACTTACTGAGTACACTATGTAGAAAATTACATTGTTTGTATTATGTATTGCCATAGACAAAATGCAGATTTTTAAATAAAAGACAATGTTTAAAGTCTTTTATAGGTTATGATACACTTTTAAATAGTAATAAAACTAAATACAGAATCTGAAGAGTTGGCTAGATCATTAAAATTGGCAGTCAAGACAATAAGAAAAAACCAAAGTTAATAGGCGAAGTTGTAAAGAAAATCTCTCTCACATTGATCACAATACGTAAATGTATTTGACAGATACTTGTTTACATACTGTATTTCTTCCAAAAGAAAAATAAATACAGAACTTGTCTTTGAGAGCCTTGAAAATCTTATAAAAGCAGGTAATTTTTGTAAAGCTAACATTAGTATTTAATGCCATTGTTTACTTAGTCAAGATATTACTTTCCTTGCAAGGTCTCTG